CATATAGTAGTAATTTCAAATACTTCAGTTCATAACAATAAATACAATACTAAAATGGGAATTTTAATTTCATAATCTGGAAAGAAATGCAAAAATATTGTCTTAAAGTTGATCTAGACAAAACCTGTCTTATTTGTTTAATTCAAAATACAAGACGATACCTTACAAAATAACTTCGATTAAACTAGAGATAGATGAAATTTGAGATAGAGCATCTTACATAGCTAAGAATTCTCTTAACAAACCCATTGTTCATAACCTTCTTCCTTGCCGCTTATTCAATAACAACAAACACTTTCCCAAACTCTCAGTTTCTTTTACACCAATTAGTGTAGAGTTTCCAGTAAAGAATGATATGGCTCTATCACCTTTCAAATGTATTTAACTTGTGTTGTAACAACATTGTTTAGATTTTTGAACGTATTCAGTCAACGTCTTTTCACTGAGTAATTATTTAATTCTACTTAAAGTCTTCCTACTTTATGATTAAGATGGTAAAAATAGCAACCGACATTTTTTATTTTGTTCCAATTCTATTTGTATAAAATAGATATTACCTCTGGCACAATTTATTGTCAACTGAGTGCAAAATATTTTTCAGTTCTAAATCCAGCCAATCTTCTTTGCTAATGATGACGCATAAGCTCAAATTCAGATTTTATAAAGGCACAAATAGTCCTTTTTGATATATGTTATTTAATAATAATAATAAAAATCATTAACTGAAAATGACTTGGATATAGGATTGCGAATAATCTATGGCTCCCTATCTGAGACACTAAGAGGTATATGTGGGAGTCTGCTTAGCATATATTTACTTCTCAATCAGGACTTTATCTTTCAATCAATTTTTTTAAGTTAAGTTTCAGACTAGAGCTAAAACCAGTTTTAATCTGCTTCTTTCAACAATCCTCATGGCATATCGATGTAACACTAACCCATCCAATTCCGAATACTCCAGTGCCTAGAGGTAAGCCTTACTATAAACTGTGCTTGTATAATTGAACCTTCCTTTGATAATATATTGGCCACAATCTGCATCCATAAGGTTTTAATTGTAAAAAAGCTATTTATTCCCTATTAAACTTTCTATCGCATATCTATCTCCTGAGTTTCTCATATCTCTTACATTCATTCTGAGGTACTTGTACGGATTTACAACTTATCCAATTTCTCCCAATAAGAAGCTATTACGTCAACATTCTTCTGTTAACTGCATCATTTTTCAGTTTGAGTCACCGTTCCTCTTCCTCTTAAATACCTAGGCTAATTCATCTATTCCAAAGAACTAGCTTTTACGACTTAGATTGGGTTTAGTTTGCTCTGTAGGATTGTCCAATCGAAGTAACCTCGCGGAGTCTCTATATTAATGGGAAGAGACTTCATTTCAACGGAGGATCATTAATCCCTTTCTAGTTTGTCCAGGAGCAAGCTCTAGGGTACTTTCCGGATTAAGTGGAATTTTATGTGCTAACCTGCTTTTTTGGATCTATAAAATTACAAGTTAATTTAATCTTTTTAAGCTAGATTTTCATTTCTTATAACGTTGAGAAAGTTCAACTTTAGATAAATGATTTATACTTCTTTATCATCTTTGGTATTTAATACTGAGGTTAAAATCTTGTAACGTTGTTTAGCACATAGTCAATTATTTGATAGAGAAGTAGCTACATCATAAGCACTTTGGGTATCAGCATTGGATTCTATACAAAAAGTGATGAAAATTCTAACTCTGAAAGATAAAAATTGCAGATGATTTGATGGCTTTCTGTCATCTACAATAATTATGCTCTGTTTGAAAGCCTACTGACAAATATTTGTTGTTAAGCACTGTTGATTAGGCTGAAGATTTATGCTCGGATTATTTTTACTCTATATTTTGCTCCTATTTATCAAGACCTTAATTCACATAAATTTGTCCATTTTGGAACACTTGTGAATTTTTTAATACATACATCTATATTTGATGCTCAAAATGCATGTTCCCCTATTATCCTTAATTCGTTAATTTTATTCATTCATCTTCATTTCTTAAATCATATCCTTTGTTTCATAAATCGAACTCATTCCCTTCTTTCCCATTCTTTCAATTATACATCTTAAACATAAACATCTATCTTCCTAAGCAATCCTACTTTTAAGACAAATAAACAGTGCTTAATATCAGAGAAGCCTACTAATAAACTATAGATATATTACTTAATACATATTTCATTAACAGATTCCAAATTGTTAAAATTAATGAGAGAAAGGCTGATACAATTTTTTAAGGATTTATTTTATCAAAAATAAAAATAATGTTTTTAGAAAAAATTTAAGAAAGAAGCGAATAAGATATCAGAAATAAAAAGATGATATAAAGAGAGGTTATTTTGATCAACCAAGAGTAAATCCGTTTTGAAATTAAAATCTTAACCTATTACTTACTCTCATTCAATTTAATTTTTGGTATTTATAAACATATGATTGTTGATACTTAAAACTATTGTTAGGTATTTATTGAAGGCTTGTGATTTCGTATATCATAAGGATGAAATTACAAGACATTTGCCTTTTTCAAATCTAACAATAGTTTCTTTGCCAAAATGAATTATTCTTCTATAAAATCATCTATGTTAAAAGGAGAAACCAATATATATATATTATAATAAGGTATCCTATCAAATATTGATATTTAAAGAATACTGACAAGTATAATTTTATTTCTTATGAATATCTACGTCTAAACAAATATCATAAATCTTATAACCGCAACCTCCATAATTTCAATTACTCTAGAAGATTAATATATGATTTGAATGTTATCAAAATTCATAATTAGTTGGTTACATTTCGATTAATTAGGCAAAACTTTCAATAGCCTCTCGATATCTGTCTAAATTAAATAATGTCATTCCTAAAGTGATTAAGTTAGATTGAATTCTGCTTTTTCTCAAATAAGCTTCATAACACATTGGATTATTTTTGATAGCCACATCAAAGTATTCAATAGATTCTTCTTTCCTACCTAGATTGAATAATGTTTTTCCTAAAAAATCATTCTAATTAAACCATACCCATTAGTAAATTTATCAAAGGATGATCCGATGTTATTCCAAGGATTAAGGCAAAACTCTCGACGGCTTCTTCGAAAAGATTTAAATGAAATACAAATAATTGGAAATAAATCTACATATAATATATATCCATAATTATTTAAGTCTAGCATAAGGTANCAATCGAAGTAACCTCGCGAAGTCTCTAAATTAATGGGAAGAGACTCCATTTCAACGGGAGATCATTAATCCCTTCTCTAGTTTGTCCAGGAGCAGCTCTAGGGTACTTTCCGGCTTAAGTGGACTTTTATGTGCTAACCTGCTTTTTTGGATCTATAAAATTACAAGTTAATTTAATCTTTTTAAGCTAGATTTTCATTTCTTATAACGTTGAGAAAGTTCAATATTAGATAAATGATTTATACTTCTTGATCATCTTTGGTATTTAATATGAGGTTAAAATCTTGTAACGTTGTTCAGCACATAGTCAATTATTTGATAGAGAAGTAGCTAAATCATTTGCACTTTGAGGATCAGCATTGGATTCTGTATTAAAAGTGATGAAAATTCTAAATCTGAAAGATTAAAATTGCAGATGATTTGATGGCTTTCTGTCATCTACAATAATTATGCTCTGTTTGAAAGTCTACTGAGTACGCAAATATTTGTTGTTAAGTACTGTTGACTTAGGCTGAAGATTTATGCTCGCATTATTTTTTCTCTATTATTTGCTCCTCTTTATCAAGACCTTCATTCACTTAAATTTTTCCATCTTGGAACACTTGTGAATTTTTAATACATGCATCGATATTTGATGTGCAAAATGCATGTTCCCCTATTATCCTTAATTCTTTAATTTTATTCATTAATTTTCATTTCTTTAATCATATCCTTTGTTTCATAAATCGAACTCATTCCCTTCTTATCTATTCTTTCAATTACACACCTTAAACATAAATATCTATCTTCCTAAGCAATCCTACTTTAAGACAATTAAACAGTGCTTAATATCACAGGAGCTTACTAATAAACTATAGATATTTTACTTAATATATATTTCATTAATAGATTCCAAAATTGTCAAAATTAATGAGAGAAAGGCTGATACAATATTTTAAAGATTTATTTTATCAAATACAAAAATAATTTTTTTAGAAAAAATTTAAGTAAGCAAGGGAATAAGATATCAGAAATAAAAAAGATTATATAAGAGAGGTTATTTTGATCAACCAAGAGTAATTCCGTTTTGAAATTAAAACTTTAACCTATTATTTACTTACTCACTCTCATTCAATTTCATTTTTGGTATTTATAAACATGTGATGATTGTTGATACTTAAAACTTTTGGTTGGTATTTTATTGAAGGCTTGTGATTTCGTATATCATAAGGACACAATGAAAAAAATATTTTTTTCAGATAAGAAATCACTTAAAATTACAGTCATTTTGTAGTAGGAATGATATGAATGATCTTGACAAAGATATAAGCTTAATTTGGAACATCAATTAGATTTCCAAGTTATTCTGTTTAATTGAATATTAAAGCATCATTTATTTGGTTTTTAAGTAATAAAATAGAGCTAATATTATATTATCTATGAAATTACAAAACATTTGCCTTTTTCATATCTAACAATAGTTTCTTTTCCAAAATGAATTATTCTTATAGAAAATCATCTATATTAAACGAGAAACAAAAATTTATTATAAAAGGTATCCTATTAAATATTGATATTTAAAGAATACTGATAAGTATAATTTTATTTCTTATGAATATCTACGTCTAAACGAATATCATAAATCTTATAACCTCAACCTCCATAATTTCAATTATTCTAGATTAGAAGATTAATATTTGAATTGAATGTTATAAAATTCATAATTATTTGGTTACATTTCGATTAATTAGTCAAAATTTTCAATAGCCTCTGGGTATCTGTCTAAATTAAATAATGTCATTCCTAAAGTGATTAAATTGGATTGAATTCTGCTTTTTCTAAAATAATAACATTCATTATATCATACAAATTTCAGGTTTCTATGTTTCAATTCGATTTAGTTTTCTAAAATACAAGTTCTTTTGGATTTGAATAATGATTTTTAATTCTAATCCTTAATTATGGATAATTCTCCATAAAGGATTAAAGCTTTTAAAGCTTCCAAAATTTGATTTTGACATATTCGAAGTATTGTACGATCAAAATTAGCTAAATAATGAATAATTAAATACTATTATATGAAATGGATTGACTTTAACGTGGGAATTTAAACTAATTAAGAAGGTCTTTGTAACAATCATCTTAAGATAAAATCTCTTTTGCTGTTTTTACATCCCATAAGCGGATAGACTTATGATCACCACCAGATACTTATGTAGTACCATCAGGGGAGATACTATTGTTCTTACATCATCTGAATGACCATTTAAATTGGCTTTTTATTATCCTGTCTTAACATCTCATAATTGGATAGAATGGTCTGAACTACCAGATGCAAATGTAGTGCTCAGGAGAGAAATTCCCAATTTTCAAGTTCAACAAATACACATATTTGTAACTGGAATAAGCTAATAACTTACTACTTGGTTAGAAGCACACACATTATGCATTCCTCTTACACTTAAAAATAGATTTTTTATTTCGAGTTCTAACATCCAAAAAAAGTATAAAATTATCACAATTGCAATAAACTAATATCTGGCCATCAAAAGAAAAGCAAACATTATTTACTCTACCTCTATTACAATTTAACTTCATCACCTCATTTATTATTAAATTCCTCCACTTACAATTAATGAATTTTGCTTCATTAAATTCATTCCACTTATGTTGAACTTTTCAAATTCTGATCCACTTAAGTTGCATCTCATGAAGTGTGCTGAGAAGTATTTCAAATTCTAATTTTTCAAATGATTTTGTTTTAAATCCTCCTTTATTTCAACTAATAAATGAAAAAAAATTTGATCCACACTATATGTATTTGTAGTCTAAAGATGTATGATGAACAAAAATTTAATAATTCTATGATCTTCTTATCCTAAGGTATTTTTGTGATTATATGTTATCTCATTCCTTCACATTCATCTAAGGAGTAATTTTGTTTATTAAAATCATAATTCTTCATTTTTTTGAGAATATATGTCACTTTCATGCATTCTCACTTCCTTTCTTCCAAAAATTGCATCTTTCCTTTGATTCATTTTTTCTGAAAGTAATTCTAGATCTTCAACCTTTAACCTTTCAAACAAAACGCTGAAGAATTCAATGAAGTGAAAACTTCATACAACTCATTTTTGCCTTACAATTATTCCTTATTATACTTGGTCCTTGAGTTTCCAACAAGAAAACAAAGTTAATATTGAACATTTAATACATAATTTGAGATTATAGCACAAGGAATTTAATTGAATTTTATTGAAAATCATAACAGCAATTGTGATTTTTTTCATGATTAGATAAAAATGCAAAGATTATTGAAAACTAAAGAGTGATCTTTACGGTTTTCAAAAAAAAAGACAATTTAAAAAGCAATTTTATTATCAAATCTAATTTCTGTCAATATTAATTGTTTTAATCAAAAGTAGTTCAACAAATTTAGAGAAATATTGTTATTTTGAACTTCCATTTTGGAACTTACTTTAGAATATTTCAAATAAAATTAAACAAGTAACATTTATGATACATTTTCCACCTAAAATAAAAGCAAGTAGAAAAAAAATATCCCAAGATGAGAGATGAAAAATTGTAAATAACTTGTAAATTAGTTCATCTTAATCAAAAAGTTTCCTATGTGATTGATACATTCAATCGTCTATTCTTAGTGAAGAATTATTATTATTATTATAGAAACAAAATAACTAATTTATCCCATTAACTTCTTTTAGCTCTTCTATCTTTCTTTCTATTCACTTCCACCATTTTAAAATGAAAAATGAAAAATTAATTTTTAGTAATATTTTTTGATAAAATTGATTAAGAATGATTTATTTTATAATACTTTTAGAATTTTTATAATTGGTGTCTGGTTTAATATTGGAATACATTTATCTCTTAATAAAAATGGAGGAGTCAACATTTTATACTTTCCAATTGAGTAAGATCAAAATGTAGGCAAAACGTATTCATTCTAATAAACATCAGCTCAATAAATTGCATCAATATCATCCTCAATGATTGACGGTGAATTTTCTGAAAAATATGATGGAATAGGATTAAAATCCAAGTAATCCAGAAAGTTGGCAAATTACAATTAATATATTTGTAACATTTACATTATTTCTAATAAATTTTCTCAAAATCTTCCTCTTAAAGAAGAGACTAGTACAAGTCCAGCTACTGATATAAATGGTATTTCTACAAGTTGTACTTTCTCAGCACTGATTTTCTACTTAAAATAATATAATAAATATTATAACTATTTAGCTAAGAAAAATTAACAAGAAAATTAATGGTCTTTAATTTATATTTGATTTTAATGGTTTTTTAATAAAATGATTAAAATTTAAATTGTGTGATTTTAATGAATAATCAAATTCAATTTTGCTTTAAGTCTTCTAAAAAGCAACTACCCTTTGATTTAAACAAAGGTTTTAAATCTTTCCCTTAATGATTAATGAACTGTCCTTATAGGATAAGTGTTCCTGAT